AATGGATGCGCGGCAGAGGCCCTTAGCCCCTGCACCTTCGACCCTTGCTTCTGAAGCAGATTCTTGATGGTTCGTGCACTCCAGGGGATTCTTGGCTCCTGTTTCACGCCGACCTCGTACCGTGAACCTCGCCCGGCTAGTCCGAGTTGTGAGAGCGTAACATTGTATCGGAGCATGCGGTAACGAAGGTTTCCATGATTCAAAAATATTTCAAGTTTGTGGCCCTGCTCACTGATCGTATCATAAGGGGCGCCCTTTGTGATAACCGGAGCGGTTCCATCAGGCACACACTTGTCTAGAAAGAAATTCAGATCTGAATGTCCGCAGAACAAATATCAAGGGTGAGCCACGTGCAGCACAAAGAAAGGTAGTTAAAGGTTTTCTGGCCCAGTTGTTATCCATTCTGGAGGGACGCAGAAGTGGAAATGGATTCTCAGCGGGCTCCATGGCTTGGACAAAACGGGTTTTCGAGTCTGGCATGCTGGAGCAGCTTAGCGCGCGAGCGTACCATACATCTGTTCAACTCTATAACAGGTTTGCGAGCAGGGGTGTTCATTGCATGGTGCGACTCTTGCCAAGCGAAGTCGCACACCAATTCTGTGGCTTCAGGCACTGCTTAACTTGGGTACCCGTCGGGCTCTGGGCGTACATTCTTCTCTCGGCAAATGGTGTCTAGAGACTGCTTGCTTGAGGCTGGCTATGAGCATCTTTTTCATGGACGTGAACTGGACAGGCGTTGTATCGTCTCGGCATGTCCGTGATACCAAGACGGTCCCACGCACGAGCAAGCAACGGCACTTAGAAAGCGATTTCAATTTCTGTCACGTTGCAAGCCCTGCTCGAGCAGCACTGCAGGTGATGTCTTGGCAGCTGGAAACCCAGATGCTCGAAAGTTGCACTTAAATGGTCTTGCGGCCTGTTACATGCTGAGACCTCGACGCATGCAGTCCAGCAGTTGTTACGTTGTTGTCGATCAACTACCATGTTGTCACAAGTATTCATGATTTGCTGCTCAGGATTGGACTGATGCACGCTCGAGTTGGGGTTTGGCTACCCGCCTGCCGCAGCCTAGCTCGTTTCAGCTGGAGCGGGGCTGGGCCAGGGCTAGCGTTACCTGCAGCAATGAGGCACGTTTGCTACCTTCCACCTCGTTCTGAATGCGGTAAGTGCCGGTCTCTACCTCTTCGCGGCAAGAAGCTCTGAAGGGCTTTGCCAGGCACTTGTCATGAAACACATTCCTAAAACTGTGACCTCAGCCACTGTTGAAGGTGCTCTGCTGGATTTCCTGTGCGCTGTTCTTCCCCAGGACGGTCTGTTTTGCCAAGCGCATCTTACCACAAGATCTGTCCAGCAAGGACGTATGGTCTGCCGCAGCACAACCTCATTGATTCGATCACGAGGCAGCGTAATGCGAAGGACTACATTGGCGGCTGCCTGAGCGGGGCTTCCCCTGCGTCAGGGCGACCGAGCTACCTGAAGTTTCCGGATCGGTTCAGGTCGGTCTCAGACTGTTATGATCACTACCCTCGCTTTGCCCTCGGCATGATTTATTCAGCACTTGCTTTTGAAGCATTCTGCCAGCTTCGACCTGAAGTATCATTGCTGGGCTCTACTCCGTTTTATTGGAGGCCTTGGTGGTGAAATGCATTACCAAGGGGGTCGAACCAGGCGGAGCAGTGCTGAGACAGTGTACGTGATGCGCGCTGCAGCTGGTGTGGTGCAGGGCAGATACAGCTGGGCCACGACAGCTTTTGGACCCTCATGTCCTCCCTGTTGCCACAGCCCCAGCAGAGGGGACATGTCGGGGCCACCGGCCATAAAGGCAGTTGACTGATCAGGTTGGTGCTACTGGTCAAGGTCCTGCTATACGATGTTCACATCGCGGACCCTTGAGCGTACACAACTACACTTTCGATTGGTGCTGCAAGCTGAAGAAGGGGGGGAAGTTGGTCTCGCAAATGCCCTCAGGACACGAAGTGGCATGCAGTTCGGTGTGAGACCTCGCATCTGCGCCCAACGGCATTTCTCAGCTTGGTTCCGGTGGCAATGGCGGGTGTGACTCAAGTTGCAACATCTTTGACATCTCGTTGGCACCACCAAGAAAGTCCCTGCGAAAGTTGTGTCTGTGTGTGTGTGGGGTCTCTCTTTGAGGTGATGATGATGGCAGCCGGCTCCTTCTTGGTGCTCGATGACGAGTTCAAGGCTGGATCTTCTCAGGGCAAAGCGGAGTGGGCTTGGATCTGGTACATTTCGCAGGACCGAGCGGTTGGGAGCCGAAAAGCTGGGCAGAGCTTCTGCCAAGGCCGCTCGGGCTGCATCGCATCGCTTCTGCCACAGATCTGCATTTGCTTTCCGATCGTGGTTTGGAGTCATGTCCTTAAGGCTTTGGTGTCTTGCTGCTATCCGTGTCTACAATGCGGATGCTTCATAACGAGCCACACGTCCCAGCCGTCAGCTGCAACAAGCGGCTGATGGTCATGTGGAAGGCCAGAGAAGTCACACTGTTGATGATACAAACCCTGCACTACCTTAAGGACCCTAAACTATGGGAATTATGGTATATTCCTTATTATGGGTAATGCAGGATTTATATCATCACCCGTAACAAAGCTGCGCCATCTCATCCTCGAAGCTCGCCTTTGACAGCCTTGCTCACAGGTCCAAGTTACTGTGCAGCTGCTCTTCGCGGCCCTGTCTTTTAGCTTATCGGGCAGAATCACTGGCAAAGAAGGTCTCTACCTCTGCGCCGGCATCTTAGATGTCCCAGTTGTGTAATGTGGAGATGCGACTCTGCACTTTGAGACTGCCGGGCCTTGAACTCGACAAACCATGGGCGGAATTTTCGTCGTTTGTGAGGCCCACATCCAAGGCCTTTCGTTGTGCAGGGTGGGTTTCCGCCCGTTCTGATTTTGACATGCAGAACTCCGGAGCAGCTCAACTCTGCTTCTTGCGAGTATCATCTGTTGCTCCAGTGCTACGACTCAACTCAGGTTTCTGAAGAACCCTTTTGCTTGCCTTGCTCCCAGGTCATGCTGACCACGATCCTCATTGTACTAAATCTGCTGGACGAGCTCGAAGAGCTCCACTCCTACCGCGGAAACTGGAAGGTTGTCAGTCGCCTCAGACTTTTGCGTGGTTCGAGTTTTGAAGTGGCTGTTTCAGAGTCAGACGTGTCCGGACAAGGTGCGCACGATCGGTGACTTGCAAGCAGAACTTCCTGTATCGGATCTCTGGTGTTGACCTTCGGCGTGGTTGCCCTTTCATGGATATTTACCTTTCTTGTTGTTCCTTGATGCCTAAGGCTCGCTGCATGGGATGACCAAGTACATGAAAAAAGGATCGCAAACCTCCAGCGATGACGTGCTGGAGTCAAAGGACCACGAAGTAAAGGTGTGACCAATGCATTGATTCGCTAAAAACAGTTGTGAGCAGTGACGTCCGGAGACAGGGAGCTGACTGAGTTTGCTCATACGGCTGACGCCCTGCATGTTGGCTGCTGACTGACATCATCCTTCTCCGCAGCGATAGCACCAAGCAGATTTGAATGTTGACAAATTCTCATGTCCACGACACCTCAAACTCTAAGTGATTAGGTTGTTATTCTCCTTCTGATGATCGCACTCTGCCTGTCCCAGCGGCACCTGTGGCCGATCAGAACTGCGCTTCGATGAGAGAGGCGAGGCCGAGGGTGGCAGAATGAGTCACAAAGAAGCGAATGCAGGTGTACAGGCGGTATTTATGGCCATATATATATATAGTCTTTACTTCTGTCATATCTTTCTTGGTGCATGCGTCGGGGGGCTTTAGTCGTTGTGTTAATGCATTTTTTGTGTGGCTTTGCTTGCTTACAAAAAAGCCTTGTCTCAAAACACCAGCATCTGCACCAGGCTTTCTGTCATACATCATTGTCAAATGGTCATCGTTTGGTAGGTGCAAAATTTCGAAACATGTCTTGAAAAGTCTACAAATCCTAGCCCAACCAATAAATGCACAGGACTTGTATTATGCATACAGTTAAGCTGAACTAAACTCTGAGAACTGGACTTTAACAAAGGTGAACTGGACTTTAAAAAAGGAACAGCTAGCAACGTCGACTAATAAACAACGGAGCATAGAACCTGCACTGTAATGCGCGGCCACGGCATGTTGTACTATGTTTGACTTGGAGCAGTACCTGTAACAGTCCGTTCCCAACAGCTTAGAAGCAAGCAAAATGTGCTACTTGATTAACCATCATCCGACCAAGAGGTCTCATAAGCGAAGGTGTGAATATTCAACTGGTACTAAATGGTAGGTTTATACTATCAAAATGTATAAACACGGAACTCAGCAAGAGTTACATGTACTT